GAGGATGTGCCCGCAACCAAGGTACATGCCCTTGACCGGAATCGAACCTGGGACCCTTCAGTCCGCAGGCCGAGGCTCTATCCACTGAACCAAACCAGTTAGGGCTGTATAGCACTTTCACATACAGTATGTCATTTGATTTTCAAAATCCTTTGAAGCAATTAGAGTAGGGCATAGCCTTCTCTTACAGATGGGGAAATAAGCTCAGATTTTTTGCCAGGTGGCTAGAAGTTCTGGACCCCAGAGTCAGTTCTTTGGTTTTGGGATGAAACCTGCCATTGTTCCCACTGCACAATACAATGAGATAAAAGCACCATGACACAATGACACAGAAAGACTGATGAGTTGCCCTGGCTGGTGTGGCTCAGTTGGTTGAGTGCCGTCCCATGCACTGAAAGGTCACTGGTTCGATTCCTGGTTAGGGCACATGCCCAAGTTTTGGGTTCCATCCCCAGTTAGGTTGCATATGGAAGGAACAGATTGATGTTTCTCTCACATCAATGTTCCTCTCTCCTTCTCCCTAAAAGAAATCAATTTTTTTAAAAACCTATTTTTTTTTAAAAACCTATTTTTAAAAAGAAATTTTTTAAAGACTAATGAGTTAAAAATTGTTCTCTGGAACTCAAGTTCCTTACAAGTTCGGTGGGGTTTTCATTTTGAAAGTAAATTGGACACTAACTTTGGTTTTGCTAAAGTACTGATTTTTTTTTCATGTTTTAAATTTGCACGAGGGTAATAGTTCTGAAGTGAGTCCCTGCACTCTCCCTTCTTTTCTCTTAAACTCAGTACCACTCACATTCATATGCATCTTAAGTCTACTCTTCTAGCCAAGACCTCTCTCAAAATCTGGTCTTGAATTTCCAACTGGTGAACATTACCACATGGATGGATCCCCACTCCCCAGCACCTCAAACCTAAGTCCCAAACCAAATAACTTCCCCACAAATAAGCTATGGTGTCTCTTATCTGCATTAATTGCATCATCATTCTCAACAACTCACTCCCATTCATCTCTCCAAATTGCGGAAAATTATCCCTTGTAGTGGCTCATGCTATCCTCTTTCTAACCCTGTTAATCACGGACCAAATTCAGGACTTATCTTTCTTTGAATGATTATAGTAACCACTTTTGTGCCTCTTACATTCACCCGTCACAGTCGTCAGAGAAATCTTTCTAAACACAACCTTCAGAATCTTTTAGTGACTTTATCTTGCCTATAGTTGACCTGAAATAACTCTTACCTTTTAAGTATCATAACTTTCCATACTCTAAACAAATGATCTTTATTCTTGAATTTACTGTGTTCTCACTTCCATGTCCATATCATTTTCTTCCATAGTTTGTAATACTTCTTTCCCCTTCCTGCTTGTCCTTCAAGGCTTCAATTTAGATGCCCTTTCCAAGAAGTCTTTACTGGTCCCCACACTTAGATCTTATTCCCCTCTTCTGTGCTAACTTGACATTGAAGGACAGCTAAAACTTGTGAGGCAATGGTAGCCAAGGGCAGTGGTTCTCACCCATTTTTCCATACACCTTTGCATCAGTAACCATGGTTCACTATTGCCAAGATTCTCAACCAGGTAGCACAGTACACACCCTAAGGAAGGAATCTCAGAATCTGCGCAGAAGATGTATATTGATTAAACAGCACTAAAATGTGCTTTTAACAACCACTTCTAGAGAAGCCCTCTACTTTCTGTCAGCACCATGAGAAGCAATGACCTAGACACTGGTCCTCAACTTTATAAGGTCAGAAACTCATCTGGTGATAATTGGGCCTTAGGGTATTGAGACATACAACTCACAGTCACAGGAGGATGGTTCATAATCCAGAATGTCAATTAACCAACATAAAATGGAAGACACAGCTTCCCGGTGCTTGAACTACTTATAACCACCTTCTAGTATTTAGATCAGCCGTGGGCAAACTACGGCCCGCGGGCCGGATCCGGCCCATTTGAAATGAATAAAACTAAAAAAAAAAAAGACCGTACCCTTTTATGTAATGATGTTTACTTTGAATTTATATTAGTTCACACAAACACACCATCCATGCTTTTGTTCCGGCCCTCCAGTCCAGTTTAAGAACCCATTGTGGCCCTCGAGTCAAAAAGTTTGCCCACCCCTGATCTAGATGGTAACCAAATAGGTAACCCACGATGAGAGGTTAAGGGAAGACTGGACTGACAAAACACTGACTTCGATCTTGGGCAAGTCAAAGCTTTTCTGAATCTGTAAACTTGAGACAAGACCACCTGCATCATAAAGCTTGACTAGCACATATGGACACAGTTAATTTTTTTTTTAATTCTCACCTGAGAATATTTTTCCACTGATTTTTAGAGAGAGGGAAAGACAGAGAGCAATATCAATGTGAGAGAAACACATCGATTGGTTGCCTTCTGCATGAGCCCCAACCAGGGCCTGGGCCAGGGAGGAGCTTGTAACCAAGATACATGCCCGTAACTGGAATCGAACCTGGGACTCTCTGGTCCACAGGCTGACTATCCACTGAGCCAAACCGGCCAGGGCTGGACATAGTTAACTTTAAAACGTTTTTTACATATAAGAAACTTACAAAGCAGAGGAGATTCTTGTCAAAGATTTATCACCTATTCCAGGGCTTGCAGCACAACTTTTGCTCTATTGAAAAATATATTTTTTTGGTAAACTTGGTACGCAAAGCCAGATATAGTGGAAGAACTCTATTCCTAACAAAAATGGAAAGGCATTTTCTTGACCCTTGTATGAGTCTAACCAAATCTTCTATTTGAGCAATGACCCATAAATAACATTGCTGTTCACCTACTTTCCCCCTCTGAACTTACGAAAAATAAGAGAAAGTACTTACTAATGACAACTTTAATGTGAACATGTGTTTAACCCTCCAGAAAGTGTCATAAATTACAGGGAAGAGCAAGTTGCCATTGAAAGGAGTACATGATGCTTAGGAATGGATGGCATGCAGTTTCTGGACCCAGCTGACACTCAAATGTATGAAAGCAATTCATAACATCAGTCACTTGAACAATCGGAACTTCTTCACGTACTGATTCACTTCTTCCTTGGGGTAGGGACGGAGTGCAATGCAAGTGGCGACATTCTCTGGCTGCTCCAGCCATAGCATGTGGTCGACGTTCTTCTCCTGCAGTGTCCCAGCCAGCTCCTTCAGGGTGGCCTCATCTGGGGCCTACAAGAAGCAGAACGTAGAACATCGATGGAATAGCCCGTTTAGGGAGTGTCAAGTCAACGGGAAGAAATATGGGGGGGAGGAGGCTCCCCTGAACTGAAAGTGGAGGAACGGATCTCCCAAAGGAGCTGTGGAGCATGTCTCCAGAAGTAAGAGCTTCATTGCTCCATTTTTCATTCTCTCTCTGTAGGACATTAGATAAATTGCCTGGGGGCTGGGGAGAAAGGGAGAGGCTTAGTATTTCTGTTCAGAAAATGGAGATTTTTCTCTTCCTTCTTGAAATGCTGCATGCCTTGTCAGTAATGATGCTCTATACCAGCGGTTCTCAACCTGTGGGTCGCGACCCCTTTGGCGGTCAAACGACCCTTTCACAGGGGTGGCCTAAGACCATCCTGCATACCAGATATTTACATGACGATTCATAACAGTAGCAACATTACAGTTATGAAGTAGCAACGAAAATAATAATATGGTTGGGTCACAACATGAGGAACTGTATTTAAAGGGCCAGAGGGTTGAGAACCACTGCTCTATACGTTTTCTAGTCCCCTTGTGGCCGGTGCCCAAATAGCTATCCCTAACCCTTCAGCCAGCTCTTCAGCAGAAGTTACAAAGGGTAAGGAAGGGTAAGATCTGTTTGGCCATCTGCAAAAGGGCCTTCCCGCTATGTTACACCCCTAGTGTTTGTGACGCTGGGTTCAATGTACACTAGGGTTCACCTTTATTTTCAAGTAATTTGGCGTCATGTCCAGGTCAACACTTCCATTTCACTGGCAATAAGAAATCCCGAGTCCTTATCCTGGTCGGTTTTGCAGGAAGGGAGGGTAACAATTTCATCCCAGAGGCAGCATTAAAAGGCCGGCCCAGTGCACTGGTGGAAAGGCGGTCTCTGCAGCCTCCTCTCGCACAGGTATCACTAAGACGGCCGCAGGAGAGACCGGAGGGGTGAGAGCCCATTTAATAACGGACCCCATGTCCCCTTTTCACTGTCAGGCCCTCCCCAGCCAAGGGAAAAGACTCTCTGAGTCAGTGGTTCTCAACCTTCCTAATGCTGCGACCCTTTAATACAGCTCCTCATGTTGTGGTGACCCCCAACCATAAAATTATTTTCGTTGCTACTTCATAACTGTAATGTTGCTACTGTTATGAATCGTCATGTAAATATCTGATATGCAGGATGTATTTTCATTGTTACAAATTGAACATAATTAAAGCACAGTGATTAATCACAAAAACAATATGTAATTATATATGTGTTTTCCGATGGTCTTAGGCGACCCCTGTGAAAGGGTCGTTCGACCCCCAAAGGGGTTGCGACCCACAGGTTGAGAACCGCTGCTGAGTAAATAGCTCAAGCAACCCCAGAACCGTCCCCAAATCTTAGATGCTAAAGACTCCTCCCACTAACACGTCCCCCAACACGGACTCAAGGCCACACCCACTTCCGGTCTCGACTCCCACAGCGCCCCTCTCCCCGCCCCCTCCGGCCGGGGCCTCACCTCAAGGACCACCTTGCGCATGCGCCCCAGCTCCCGGAGGTAGGCCACAGTGTGCGGGTGGTCGCGGTGAACGTGCAAGGCCGCGGTGGCTGCGTGGCAAGCCTGCGCTACCAGTGCGCCCGCGGGCCAGGAGAATGGAGCCTGCGATAGATCCTTTCGTAACACCAAATACTGTACCAAGACCTGCGGCTCCGCGCTGGGTGCCGCCATATTCCTGCCCAGCAGGAAGGCCTGGCCTAGTCCGCGGTGCATGCTGGGATCAGGGAGGGGCCCTGAGCGCGGCCATGTTTTTGTACGGAGGCTGCGCAAAGCATGCTGGGTCCCAGTGGCTGGCTTTTGAAGGCGAGGATGGCGGGAACTCGTCCCTGGGCTGCGTGAGCCCGAGGAGAGGAGGTAAGGAAGGAGGTGAGGGGAAATGAGGTTCGGGCCGGTGGCTGGGGTGGAAGGCTACATGGCCCCTCGCAGCTCCTGGCGTGTGGGAGGC